TTTTCAGTTAATGTTCAGCAAATATTGAAAGTTTAGAGTGTTTGGATAATACTTATGCAGTATCACATGTTTAGAGTAAATTATCACATGACCAGAGCTGATTATATCTTGGTTGCAACTTGGCGAGAAGAAGACTGCCACAAACCTCCCAAAGAAGAGGCTAGTAAAGTATGTTTAAATACACATACAATAAAGATTTTTGGTGCACATCATCTTTAAAGTGTCTAGTTATGATATGCACCTTTGCATTTACAAAAATTTGTTTGGTGTGTGAGCAGGATGTGTAAACATGTTGACGGTCACAATAGTGACCAGTGGGATAACACATTTGATCTAGGTGCACTTATTTAAATACATACCATATTCTTCCAATTCCTAACTTCTTCCTTTTTAAGATTAATTTTGAGTTTGGTTCTTGATTTGTTGGACTTTGTTGAAGCCAGACAAAGCATACAACAATGTAGTTCTGAGAAAAATGGAACCCTTACTGATTTTGATAGTGATGGCTTAGACATGGACTATAAGGGGAAGAAGGGCCATTTTCCATGCCTGATTTTGATGGCATATGATCAGTTCATGGGAAAAGAGGATAATCTGACCCTTCATCAGGCATGTGGTACTCTGTTACCACCTGCAAAAGTTTCTGACGAAGGGACAGCTGTCTCTTTGATGTACTCTTTAAAGAGGATCCAAATGAGGTTCCAACACAAGATGAGAAACTGCTGATCCACTAGAAAAACAATATTTTCCTAATGGAAACAAAGATGAAGAATTATATATAGACTGATGTCAACTAGATCAGTGAGCACATGAGAGGTGTAGACCTTTATGACCAAACCCCCTCAAGGTTCAATGTCATGGTCAGGTCCAAGAAGTGATGGTGGTCCATACCAAAAGCACACCTGAAACGGTGCCGGTAGCCTAGCAGGTTGGAGTTTATCTTGTACCTGGTGGGTTGCCTGCTGGAACCCCCTCTTTATTTGTGTCAGTAGTTGTGACCTTGATCAAGAGGACAATTCAGCCACCATGCCAGCCGGTGGTATTCAGAGGAACCTGGTGGAGGAGCCGGTGTATGACTGCCTTACTTCTGTCAAACTGTGGCAGGCAAGCTGTAGCTACAATATAGTAGCTTACTGCTGTCGGTATGTGAATGTGTGTGTGAATGGGTGAATGACTAAATGTGGTGAAAACATTTTCAGGTCATTTGGACTTGATAAAGAACTACACAAGTACAGGCCATTTACCTTTCAGATATTATTTTACAAATGTGTCGTAGGAGGAACAACTGATTTGCTCATCATGGCTTATCTTATGCAAAGGTTTGGTATAAGGCCAGCAGGTCATGGAAATAGATCTCAAATGGACACTTCTCTTCAAGTTATGACGAGATGTAACCAAGACACTTACTGGTCAGTCAATGCAAAAATAATTTCCAGAGATGTTGCTTTGGCACCACCCATGCCTTGGAGAAATTCAAGGCTTTATTGCACATTGAGTGCTTCAAGAAAGGACATGGAAAGTAAGGAGGGGGTGAAATAACCCAAAACTGAAGAATACCAAAGTCACCAAATGGTGAGAAGGAGCCATACAATTGGTCTTTGATTCCAGGCCTGGGTCTGGTATCCTGCAACTTTCAGGTGTGTTCCTGGTCCAACACACCTGAATTAAATGGATCATCTCCTTAGTATGCAGTCCAGTTTTCCAGAGTCATGCTAATCACCTGATTCAGGTGTGTTGAAGCAGAGACGGATGGAAAAGATGCATGACACTGGCCCTCAAATCCTGGAGTTGGAGACCCCTGGACTAAGTCTATTGAGTCTTACTTTATGACTGTGACAAATGTTCATAATTTTCAGAAATATAAATTAAAGCCTCTACTGTAGTTGTTATATTTATGATCTATGTTACTGTGATGACACTATGACTGAAGTTCAATATAATTATGCATAAACACTCAAGCACTCAAATTTACCTTGGTTTAGAATATATTGATAGTCAAATTTGTACTTTACAGAGAAAATGTTAAACTAAAGTAATGCTGTGGCAAGATATATTCTACTAAAGAAACAATGTTCACATATTATGATCATGTCTATTTGGAAAAAGCACTTTTAGCTCATCTTAGTATTAGAACACCATATTATCCCACCGGTCACAATTGTGACCGAACATAAAACACACTTTTTCATATATTTTTCCACAATTTTTAAAATTATTTCCCTGATTAGTTCAAAGGGCTATCAATGACATCTGAGTGTAATATTTTCATGTCTGGGAAAAATTTGGGATTGAATGGGTTAAAGCAAAGACATCTAACGTAGACTGAGGGGATACAGACTAAAAATCACCAGCTCCAAAAATCAATACTTCAAAAAGAAATGTGCAGTTTCCCCACTTGTACCAATTAAAGGTCTTTTAGAGGAAAGTTGCATTGCCAAAGTAGATAAAAGAGCCTTTCACAAAACATTTCAAGATAGGGCATTTTTTTTTAGAAGTTTATGCGTTTTGAGAAAAGACTAATATGGCAAATAGGGGGGAAATTCAGCCAAACTCTGTGACTTCTTTGCAAGCAAAGAAGTCACAGATCCATACGGTTCGATTTCAAGCTAACTTTCTGGGTTATGGGACCATAAACACGGATCAAAACAGGAAGAGCAAGAAGGTGAGATTGACTTGCCTGTGCAGGTTTTGAATGGAAATGTTTTGTTAAACTGTCTATGGACTGAACTATATAGCCAAAAGAAATATATTTGGAGGAGTTATGAAGAGGCTATCAAACTGAAGAGCAATGTACCAACAATTGTTAAGCATATGCCAACTGCATGAGCAGGGCATGTTTTGCTGTACTCCCAACTGCATGATGATGAAATTTGGCATACAAATAAACTTGATTTGCCTATGCGAGATAGTTTGTACTACATAGCAGAAAAAAAAGTATAAACTTTATTTTACTTCTCTGGTTCTTGTTCTCTTTTGGATGTCTGTTTATGTAGGACTGAGAACTTAATAGCACTGCGAATCGGTTGCACCTCTCTAAATATGGCATAGTTTGCTAATGTACCATTTATAAAGAAGCAGTGACACAGTATTAGCAAAACAATCTTTTATTAGAAACATATTGTATAAAAATGAACATGCTTCACACATTTAGATTTTTCCTTTCATATAGATAATTCATAAATATTCAGGCACTGTAACTTTTTAATATTTTTTAATATCAGTACATAAAGCAGACATGATCAATCCATTTTAATAACATACATTAACTTACCATCAGCACTTACATATTCTATTTTTGCAACACGCACAGTGTTGTAGAAAAAAGGATCTGTGGCAAAAAACAGTAAATTCACAAACACAAACAATCCCACAAACAATACTCAATCAAATAATGAGAAAACCATCGCTGCATTTTTGTAGATTTGTTGAAGCCGAGTAAATCAGTTATTGAAATTCTTTGTTTTTGTTTTTTTTTTTAATAACCACCTGCAGCAGTTTTCCTGTAGAAGACTATGCTTTTCTCTCAAACTGTTCTTGTGACATATGAGTTCTGACATGCAACATACAGACTTTTGCATTGCTGAGGATAACATTTAATGAAACAAATTCCAGATTTACTACTTATGGCCAATACTTGAGACTGAAGACAGGAATGCAGTTTGCACAGAACTATAAATTGTACACATCAGTTCTGAATTATGCTTGAACAGAACACACTGAACACGACAGTGAAAAATAGGATGGCAGAAGTAGTTGGCAGGAGGCACAGGATGAAGGCACTGGCCCTTATTTATCAAGCAGAAGTAACATTTACTTCCTGAAACTATTATTAGTATGTTTTATTTATTTGTGATTGCCAGATGGCAGAAAGGCATAAAAATAGCTTTCAAATGCATATTAGAGACAGAGACACCAGGACTCCGGTGGATTCTGGAGAACAAGACAGGCGGGCTGCTATTATTGCATCTACTTTGTCTTGCAAACATTTACATACTTTAACTTTACCACATTTTGCTATGTTACAACCACAAATTCCAATATATTTTTATTGAGCTTTATCTGATGGATCAACACCAGCATTAAAAAAAAAAAAAAAAAAAAAAGAATGTATTTTTTTATACCAAACAAAATTCAAAAGGTGTGATGTGTGTTTGCAAAGCCTTCTCCAGAACGCCATAGAGATTTTCAATGGTCTTTGTAGAGACGGGTCTGTGTGTAAAAATCATCTCTGATGCTCACTAAACCACTCATTTACAGTTTCAGCCTGATGAATCTTGGCATCGTCATCTTGGAATGTTCCAGTGTCATCAGGGAAGAAACAATCTATTGGTTGAATGACCTGATCATACAGCATATTCAAATTATGGTACTGAACCTGAACCAACATCAACCCCAGATTTTGATGTTGTTTCAAATGCATATTTGAAACGACACAAACCTGTATAGTAAACACTAAGCATGAGAGGCGCTTCACTAAATCTGCCTCTCGTCTTACCCTAATGTGCCCATTACTGGAAAATGACAAATCTGGATTAATCTGATCATTTTTATCCTCCTTTGCAAAGTGTGGCATTTTTCTCAGTTAGTCACTAGTGGTTTTTTTATTGCCCTGCATTTGATCTGTTCCTTGGGTTTCCTTCACATTACGGTTGTGGAAATGCTATTACTTTCACTACTATTTCCCTGAGTTCAACTATTCTTCTTCGATTGGATGTTACCAAGTGTTTGTGATCACCAATTACTTAAACATTCTTTTTTTTTTTTTTCTGACCACATTTCATTGTCAAAGTCAACGGTTCCCAACTATCCCTCCAGTATTTTTTTGTATAATGCGTTAGACAACACTCAATCCAATCTTATTAGCTTCTGTAATTTGCTTAGATATCGTATAGACTTTCCACAGGATGTCTTTCCACATAGTTGTTTTTAGAAATGATAAGCTTCTCATTACATCAGCTGGAATGAAACAACTTGTTACTGTAAGACGGTTGTCCATGCAGTAACTATCCAAAATAAAAGCTCAGACCTATTTGCTCAGTTCAATTCAGACGAGTGTTAGATGAAATTGAGACTTTTTTCTTTAATTGTTTGTATAACCTGAAACAAAAGTGTATCCACTTTTCCTCTTGCAGTTGTTGGTTGGACTTTTGGGAGATTCGTTGTATTTTCACCCAGCCGGATCTTTGGGAGGGTCTAGAGATAAAGATGGACGGTTTCTCTACGCTGAAGGTTAGGTCATCCCAATTAAGAGTTATAATGCCGAGCCAGAAATGCTGGTTCCAGACCTTCTGTGACAAACGTCAGTGATAAGACTCGCATAGCCAGATAGTCACTCTCTGTCTAGTTAGAGCAGATCATACTGAAAGGGCACCAAGCTCATCACATATGTCTCCTGGCTGTTCACATTCTCACAAGAATCCCTGTTTGAGTGTAGGTCACAGATGGTAACTAAGAGTAACATTTAATTAGGGGAATCCGCCTTTTTCCTTTACTTAATTTTTTACATTTACAATGAGCTGCCTTTTTTTCTGACATCCTTAAATAGAATATTGTGAAGCAAGTGTCATCACCAGTGATCCAATTATTAAATTGATTCCCCTTGCGTGTTAATATGTTTTAGCACACAGATGTGAACTTTATGATCTATATATCTCACGATATCCACCGTGAGACAGCGATTGTAGCATCAAGCTATGGGGATGCCTTCTTACACAGATCAACGAAGGGGAAGGAGGATGGAGCTCAATGCAAGACAAAACCTGGAAGAAAAAAAAAATCTGCAAAAGACTTGGAACTTTGACAGAGATTCTTCATAGTTGAATATTTATGTTCACAGACACTTTCCATGAAATACAACTAAACTTGAAGTTCTGCATTTTGCCAAAAATAACCAGTGTCTTTACATACAAGATGTGCACAGCTGGTGGCGACACATGACAGAAGAAGACCCACAGTTCTAAAAAGTATCAACTATATCATAGTCAATGCCTTTGGAAAATCACATTTAATTTTTATTATTTTAACAAATATGCACTTTTTTCTGCTGGTTTAAAACTATCACATAAAATTCATGATAACATGATAACATTTGGAAAAGTTCTATGCGTATGTAAACTTTTGCAAGCATCGAGATTGTGCTTGATGAAAGGACGTTTTCCTCATTCTGGTTCATCTTTAGTTTAAGATAACGAGGCTATGAAAAGCTGAGCCAGTTTGTTTTCTGTTCCAACAACCTGAGTCAGCTGAAAGGAAAATTGTCCAACACCAATTTCTTTACTAGTCTAGTTTAACATTTTCATTTTTCTGGATGAAAGATCTCAATTACTCTAGCTTATGTAAACCATACTTGCCTCTAGAAATGCTAATGAAGACCTCACTGATCACAGATGACATCAAAAACAAGAAATACGGCAAAATGTTATGTGACAAAACAAAAACTGCAAACTATTTAATGCTGCCCTGTGTATTCAGTCTCCTGCTTATTACCCATCGTTAAATTTACATTTTAAAATATGTGCAAAACACTGATATGTTGAGGTTTCTTATCATAGCAAACCAACCGTTTTGTTAAACCCTGCATTTAGGTGCAAATACTGTTGGCTGTCTATAATGTACTATTTCTGCTTCACTGAGATAAGAGTGAATTAATATTTCTAAACGCAGGGCAAAATTCTGCACTGCGTCTTCAACATCGGAAGAAACACAAAGAGAAATAGACTCCATCCTAATAACCCGGTTCTGTCAAAAACAATGAGTGCTGGCTGAGGTAAAATCTGAACAATCAGATAACTTTCCTTGTCTTTCCTACAGGTTCTGTCAGTGCAAGATAAATAAGGACCATTTTGTTTATGCTGAAAATATGCATTATCAAGTCTGCTGACATGTATGGAGTGGAAACTGATGTTTAAAAAAAAAAAATCAGATTCCAATGCAGTTGTGCCTCTTTTTGTGTATGATTTCTCTCTTGTCCAGCAGAGGGTTGCCGAGCAGGCAACGGCTCAAAATGACATCTTTATCGTGAATGACAAATGTGACAACGTTGCATTCCAAAGACACTGAAAACACAGCACAGTACACGGGATGTTCCCATTAGCATGCTCTGGGACTGTACAGGAGGTTTCCCAAGATGATTGTGACGATGTCATCATTGTCATTATGAACGTTTTACCAGACAACTGGACTGTGACCCCACTGCTTTATTTTCATGTCTTTCACATGTGGTTAGTTCATGAAGGAATACTGAGTGTGCTGTAGTAAGGCATGTACAGTATGAAGAGAACTGCAGCTTTTAACTCCACTGTAACGGAAAATACTACGTTTCTATAATGGTTCATCTTGTCAACCGCGTTTGAGTAAAAAAAAAAAAAGAAAATGAGGGAAAAACAAACAACAGAATACTCTTATTTTGCAAAAATGACATGGTTCAGCTTTATAGAGAACTGATGTTTTCTGTGCTATACACTCCAGAAAAAAAAAAAAAAAAAAAAACATACTACAAACTCCAGGTGTTGTTCTCAACGCGATTCAAAAACGTCAATAATCAGCTCTCTCATGTCTCAAAAAGAGCCGGAGAAGGAGAGTCCCTCTCTATTTAAGCTCTCTTACGTCTTCCATCTCATTTCTGCAATATACTGATTTAATATTAATCTGGCATTCGAGCCTTATTCTCTAGAAAAATATGGCATCCTTTTTTGAGTGAGTAATTTCCATGATTCTTTCCCAGTCCTTTGTTTTGCAGCAGCAGCATCAAAGTTCTCCATCAAAATTCCAGTGATCCCTTAAAACAGGTGATTCCTCCCCCTGCAGGCCTTTGCTCCTCTCTCAGGATTTGTCTCCGTCTTAGATGGCATGATTGCTGTAACTTATGTATGTCTGCTTTGAGGCAAGCACTGCAAACGAGGGTGAGAAAAAAAAGCAGAGGGTTAAAATTGAAATGAAACGGGCGAGCCTGAAATAGGCGTGGGAGTGTAATCTTTAAAAATCCACATCGTGGGAATACAGATTGATGTGAGGCTCTATTTATAGATGACTTCATTAACCAAGCACAGGTGGAACTAATTCTGATAACACGGGTGTTGATGTAAAACTGCATTTTCGTAAAAACTTCCCATCAGCGCTGAGCATTAAGATGGGAATTTTTAAATTGGTAGTGCTGCTCAGGATTTAGTTTTTTTGGGGGTTTTTTTTCCAGCATGTTATGTAAACAGACCTTAGAGCCCAAAGCACCAAAATGAACTGCATATTGCAATAATTAGGCTTTGATATTAGAAACAGATAAACGTGTCTTATTTGTCATTCTTTTTTTTTAAATCCTATTTCTGTTATGCTGTGTGCAAAAATATTAATTTACAAAAAAAATAAAATATTGCTTTGTTTGTCTAGCTGTCTATTTTCCTGCAAATCCCACAGATAAACTTCAGTATAACATTAAGAGAAAGCAGAAACCATATGTGCCTTTAAAGCTGGACACTTGGCAAAGAATTCTGTCATCAGAAAATGAGAAAACTGTAAAGTGAACTGATGACAAAAATTTAAGCCTTTGGAAAAGTGTGAAAGAGCAACATGCCAGACAATTTAAAAACACTTTTATCATAACAATTGTAATGAGGAAAATGCAATGAAATGAACCAATACACATGCTACCTAAATGATACCAAAATCCAGATATAATCTGCAAACAATGATGAGGAAAACCTGCAGTCCAGACCAAAGCTGCTAGCAGATTTACGTTTACATTTAACCTTGAAGTTGGTCCCTTGTAGGAAATGTCAGGACTGAACTGAACTGTCTAGGTGGTTTTATATACATTTCAATGAAAATAGCACGTCAAAAATGATTTATGCCCTTCTCAAAAAACAGTGAAAAAACAGTCACAACCTTATAATTGCTGTCAATTTTTTTGGTGCAAACTTCCACATGTATTTTAACAATATATCTGTGCTAATAAGCTTTTATAATATTAGGAAATAAAAATATTCCAACGTGATTAATTTATGCATATTGTCTAATATTTTTTTGTTTTGAGGGTGTTAACTTTTGCTTTGTGTGTTTTATTGTAGAGACTTTTTGTCTCTGGACACTCTTGTAAATCCAATTTTAACCCACAATGCATCTTCCCTGCTTATACAAATATTAAAATGTTGTAAAAAGACAAAATAAACCCGTTAGATATGCCAAAAGCAATTTCAGTGTGATTATATATGCAACAGTTTGCATAATTCACAAAATCAGCTTTCTGTTTTTGTAATTATCCAACTGTATCATAAATGCATTATAAGGGGGCAATCAGCATATCACAGCAGTTGCATTAAATGCAGGAGTCATTCTAGTGCCAGTCTTTCACTGCATGCAAAGGACCTGTGAGTTCTGTGTGCACCAAGCAAAGCATGCAAAAGTCAGTGAATTGGTCGTTTGAAAAGTTAAATTACTACAAGATCAGAGGAATTGTTTTATTGGACACTGAACATTATAAGATGATAAAATCCCTTACTACTTTTTATTTCTCAGAGTGTTGTTTCAGCTGTAGAATAAAATAATTATATGGAAAATGATGAATCTCTTGATTTACCAAACTTTACAAAACACAAATCTGCTATAGATCCTGAACGTCGTCATGTGTCATGTTGGATGTGTCATGTTTATTTTATTTTTTATTTTTATTTTTTTTAAATAAACATCCCTCAGTGAGCATGTTCAGTTGTGGTAATCATACAACCAATCTGTCCGCAACAGCATTGGCTGATTGAATATGTCAGAGGGGGAAATCAGAATCAGGGAACAGCTGAGAGCCAGGGTGGGCACAAAAAAAAAAAAAAAAATGAAGGAATGATTTTTAATAGTAAACACTTCTCTATTTTTGTCAGAGCCATGTTTGGCGTGGGAATGGAAGGCGGGATTCTCGCCACTTCATCCAAAGCATCTCATTCTGGAGAAGCATTGATAAATGAACCTTATTTGAATATTTATGTGCTGCAAGGCCAAGATAAAGAATAGATGGTCCAGAAAGAATTGAACCTGGCAGACCCATCTGTCTTCTCTTGTTCACTCTTATTGTTGTTGTTGTCTCATTACCACAAATTCCTCTTTTGTCAGCAGAGAAACAAATTACAGGGGGACACATGACTGTCGCTTGTCTTGTGCTTTCAGGGAAAGTGGTGTCATCTTCCTGCATTCACTGGCTTTACCATGCTGAGTGGTCTTTTTAAACATCATACACATATTGTCACCTTCCTAAAACAATGGCCTGAGTCATTTTTTGCCAAAAGTAAATTTCGAAAAAAAAAAAAAAATAAATAAAAAAAAAAAAATCACCACCTCTTTCTTTCCAAAAGGTTTTTTTTAAATGTAAACACACACACACACACACACACACACACACACACACACACACACGCACACACACACACACACACACACACACCTAAACACACTTTTGGCAAAATAATGACTTAGGTCATTAATTTAGGAAGGGGGCGATACTTTCCTTTCATGCTCATGTGTGTTGCTCTCATACAGTGGAGAAAATAAGTTTTAAGCACATCAACACTTTTTTTGGTAAAAAATCTGTAGAACATTTTCTAACATGGCTATTGAAGTTAAATTCAGACCATATGTTGGTAACAACTCATGTACTCTACATATAGTATTAAATGGAAAACATATTCCATGAATTAGATGTAACAAATTTAAATGATACAAGTAACAACATGTATTGAGAACATGAGGCAAAAGAGGAGCAAAAATGAATAGAAAGCCAAGAAAACAGTTTGAATATGTCAAAATTTAGAAAGCAATTTTGCTCAATCAGCTAGTTTAGTCTTTGCCATATTGCCCAGGTTGCACTTAAGAAATATCTCAACATAGGTGAAAACAAAGAGCCCTCTTATGGCTTTAGTAACCTTGTATTGCAAAGCACGTCACACGATTTCCCACAGAGACTGAAAAGGTCACAGGAGAATCTCCTATAAGAAAGAAGCCCTTGAAGAGATTCCCCGATCAATTTTGGTTGATTTCTCCATATGTGTGAACTACTTAGGTTGTTACCAACATCTGGTGAGCACATCATGCCAATAACCTCATTAGAAAGATATTAAATGAGAAAGATTTTGTGCGTGTTCAATATTTATTTTCACTGCTGTATTACGGAGTGTGATTGCTGGCTTGAGTCATCCAGGATGCTCCATAGTAGCCAACACTCATTCAACACAGTGCAGCAGCAAGCAAGTGTTTCACAGGTGTTGAACATTTGAAGAAATTAACAGAAGAAAAGTGATAACAAATTAATAAAAGGGCAAAATCATTAACTAATCTCATTACCTGGGAGTCTAAAGTCCCTCACCAGGCTCCCCTCCCTCAATACAGTCTGACACATAAGCACAAAGAGCAGTTGTTAGATTCACAGTTCAGATGTGGGGGGTGAGAGTCCTCGCCAGCAAATGGGCTCTATAATTGGATAAGATGGAACAGCTCTGTTCTCAGACACACAAGAAACTAGGCATGCAAGTGTGGGCGCAGGCTTGGTCATCCTAAAACACATCACTATGTACATTTCAACTTGTCGAAGCATAAAATCAGAACCCTCAGTCGTCAGACCAAATGTGGGAGCCTGATTGGATTTAAGCCTGTCCCCACACCAAGACTGCCTACTCATACACACCGTCTTAGTGACTAAAAAGATCTTCTCTCACAATGCGAATTTGTAACTCTGTAAAAAAAAAAAAAAGTAAAATACTGCGTGCCAAATATCACGCTTTCAAATTCTCAAGTAATTTCTGAGCTAGTAAGAGCCCACCTTTTACTGGAAAATGTTCCCAAGATTTCAAGCTGATCAAGTAAATAATCAAGAATAATAGAGAGAATATTTTAAGAAAGACCCAAAACAAGTAATCCTCAAGTGTTTGTGGAAGGATAAAAAAAGAAAATCTGAAAAGTGTCTTGCTTTTATATTCAGCCCCTCTAAAGTTAATACTTTGTTGAACAACCATTTACTGCAATTACACCTGGGAGTCTTTTTTGACATGTCTCTAGCTTTGCATATCTGTTAAGACACTTTGCAAAAATAGACCAAGCTGAGTCACACTGGAATAAGAGCATTTAGTAACAGATGTAGTCTGACTTGCAATGACCCATTCATTTGCTTTAAATGCCAACTTTGACTGTGTGTTTAATTTTGTACTGTAAGGGGATGAACATCCGCTCCAGTATCAAGTGTTTTACAGTCTCTAATGGGTTTCCTTCATGACTGGTCTGTATTTAGCTCCATCCATTAACCAGCTTCCTTGTCCCCGCTAGGGATAAACCCTACAGTGTTATGCAGCCACTGCCATGTTTTACCATAATAACAGTGTTCATGGGGATGTGCATTGTTAGTTTTCCTTCACACAGTGTTTTGCTTTTGTCTTGCTACTCTTTCATTCAAGACAGGATTGTGGAGTGCATGACTAAAAGTAGTCAAGCCACTTTCTACCTCACAGAACAGAGTGTTTTTAGTGAGATTAGAATAAACACATTCTAACAAGTTATCAAGTGTGAGTGAAAGTAATTAGTGTCCCTGGATTTTACGGAGGGTTACTGGAGTACGGGGGCTAAATAAAAATACATGCCACACTTTTTAGATTTTTACTTTCAGTATTTACCACTTTACTTCCACTTCTGTACTGTTTTGTAGGTGAAAAAAAAAAATGTGAAAAGGTCCAAAGGGTGTGACTAATTTAACAGCTATAGTTGTGCCTGACATGTTTCAGCTTGGAATCAGGTTTTTATACAAACATTTGCATTTCCCATCTCTTCATTCCAACAATGGAGTGTTCTACAAACCTTGTGTTTCCAGACTTTCACAGAGTTCAGACTTGGCCTCTCCATTTGGCCTCAGGCCTCCTTTGGGGTTGAACTTGTTCGACATGGTGGCTGCAGTGACCACGGCCTTCAGGCTGCGCTTGCGCTTGGGCACATTCTGCTCTGGATGAAAGAGAACCACATAGACCTTGGGCATGTAGAGCATTCCCAGGGAAACTGATGCACTGAGGCTGACAGAGATTGTCAGGGTTGTTGTCTGGATATACATCTGTGTTGTGAAAGTGAAAGAAAGAGGAGAAAAAAAAAATATTAGATGAGAATGCAGTTTTAGAGGCAAATCTATTCACAGAGTTTTGAGAATGATCTAATCTTGCACATTTGGGAGAAATAATACGACATATTTTTATATTAATTAGTTTCTATTAGTGCAGATATTCCTCATCTATAGTACAAATGATATGTATGTACAGATAAAAGCCAATATTTATGTAAATTACATAAAGTCAAGGGTAACACTTTATTTGAAGGGGGTTGAATAAGACTGACATGACACTGTCATAAACACCTGTCATGAACATGAATAAGCCTTCATGAATATATATGACTGTTGTCATAAAGAGTCATTCAGTAAATTATGACACTTTTAATACAAAGTTGACATTATTCAAAATGTCTTCATTATGACAACTTGACATTAACCAATAAATCATTACTGATATAAATTTGTTATAAAAGTATTACTGATTGCACTTTAAAAATTAGGTAACTTTATGTTATTAAAGGTAAAGTTTAAACAGTAATGATTTCCTGGTTAATGTCAAGTTGTCATAACAAAGACATTTTGAATAATGTCAACTTTGTATTAAAAGTGTCATAATTTACCGAATGACGCTTTGTGACAACAGTGATAAATATTCATGAAGGCTTATTCATGTTCATGACAGATGTTATGTCATGTTTATGAAAGTGTCATGTCAGTCTTATTCACCCCCCTTCAAATAAAGTGTTACTAAGTCAAGTTGCATTACCTTTTTCTTCTACTAATTTTTTAGACAGTGTTTTATGACTTTTCCCAGAAGCAGACTTTACGTCCAATAAGATAAAAACCCAGAATATCATTTGCAAATGCACATGGGGACGAGGAACTTTAAAATAAAGCAAAAATAAAATGGTTGGCCATAATAACCATTATTACATTTGAAGGGAATAAAAGGTGAATATTTTAAATCTGAGAATACCAGCCAAGCTATTAAGTACCAAAACTGAAATATTATTATATGTGAGTCTCTCACTGCTCGAGGGCCTGGTGCACTACACAAAATAAATGGGATGAAAATGATGTGAAAATATGAAGCAGCATCTTAAACAGCAGTGAGTTAAAATGTTGGGCTTCAAGTAGATTTCCCAAAACACAAAATTAGCTGACAATACCACAGAAATTTAGTCATAAAGTGGCAAGAAAGTAAATATTTTGTAGTGGCTATCACAAAGTCCTGATTTTAATCTGATAGAAAATTAGAGGACAAAACTAAGATGTGTGGATCATCAAGGCAACCTGTAAGTCTGACACTGTTACACAAGGTTTGTGCACTTCTGAATATAAATAAAGATTTTAAAATGTCTCTATTATAAGTATGGATTTTAGCAAATAGCAAATAATTTGATTTCCTATTTGACCTAAAACTGTAAAAATCGCCTGCTGATTTTTGACTCTTGAACAATTATATAATTTCCTCAGAAATATGCCGAGGTGGCTTACAGTTCCTTTAGTATATCCTCTTAGAAAAATAGGAAGAAATGGACGAGTGACTTGCCTCCTGTTGCATTACATCCTCTCTAATGTTAATGAACACAAGGCAATGGAAACACAGCTGAGAGACATCTTTCAAAGAAAAAAAAAGCCAAGGGTTCTGCCTGTCATTACAATTAGAGTCATCAGAAACAAATTATTTGACACAGAAATAGCTAAGAGGGATTTCAGACCACATGGCAACAGTTAATAATGATCTGCATATTCAAGTCTAACATATGTTATTCTATATGGACTAGGTTTGATGAGGATGCCTTGACTCTTGACTCTTGATTTTTATTCAAGTCCAGCATTAGATTTGAAATCTAAAGGTCAAACGTGGAACAGAATTTGTGCGCGTGTTAATCAGCTGATATGTTTTTCTTTTTATTTCAGTCATTTGCAAAACATTTCCGTAAGGTTATGGATTGGATTTTAGCAAGAAATTGGATTTGTCTTTAGTTATAAGTTGATTGCATAATTTAGCTATGCACAATGTTTATTTAATTGTATTGTTTATTTCCATTTTATTACATCATTTATGACATCTGTGACATCTGAGTGTCACAGATGTCTTGATGTTTTGATAGTCAATTGATGTAGCTTTACTTTAGCAACCAAATATATTGGAATAACACATTTAATTACAATAGATATGCAAAATCATTCCCATGAAGTGCAAGAGCAAATCTAAATAGTGAGCTGTGGCTTTTAATATCTTTGAAGAAAATTTTAATCTTGGCTGAAGCCCGACAAAAATTAAGACCCCAAAGTTCATGTCGTTTTGGAAAAAACACCTTCAGATGACACATGGAGATGGAAGCGATAAATCCATGTATTCCATCATACTGCAAACAGCACATGAGCATTTTTTGGTGATAGAGGGCGAGTGTTGTAATCTCCCAAGAAGATTACTCTTGCCCCGGGGTGAATTCAGAACAATATTGCCAGCCCTCTGGAGTACAGAGTGAAGTCACTCTCTGAAGGGAGCCAAGACCCTTGTCCACTTTCATAGGACCTACTGACATAAATCTTTCTGGACACCCTCAAATGATGGTCAATCTGCTCCACTGGGACAGTGAAGGTAAAGAGCTGAGAGCAGAAACCAATATGAAATTCTAGGGCTTCTTTGTGGCATTCCAGGTTTAGAGAGCAGTTCTATTTGCACCAAGAATACCCCATGAGCAAAGCATATTGACAGGAAATAGGATTCAGTGAACCTCACAAACTCTAAAATTCTAAGTATTTATCATACCTAACATTTCTTGAAAACAAATATTTTCAAGGGTAAAAAAAAAAATCAATAAACTGAATATTTTTGGGGAAAAATACCTTTTGCTTACTTATAGGAACAAACAACATATTGCTGGACTAGACCTTATAATGTTGGGAATTTTGTTGAATGCAGTTATTTATTCAAAGCAAATAGCATATTCTCATGATCTGGCCATGCCGTAAAACTTGGACTTGCAAGCATTTATACCTATATCATTACAACTATAAGCACACAAAGTATTGCATAATTGTGGAAGGAAAATGTGTATGGTTCTAGAATTTTTCATCAAACGAATGCTAAAAGTGGCATACACTTGTATTCAGCCCTCTCCAGTTAGATTCTACTATACCCTCGGTGCAAACAGCTTATGTATGCTTGGAGGCTGAGAAGCTAAGGTGAAGGAACATTCTTACAATGGACAACCAAGAGAAGAATGAGGAAAACATGTATTGATTGTAACTTATTCTGGCATCATAATATTCAACAAAAAATGTTAAATTACATGTTTTAATGATGCTGTACAGTTCCAAGCTGTTGCTAGCTATCTTTAGATATGTGTAGTGTATAAATAAAGTTGTAAATTGCACTAAGCAGAAAACTGAAATATGGTAATGGCAGCAATATGCAGTGTGAATGCTTTCACGATGGGAGGTCAGCAAAACTGTTCCGAGGCAAACCTAGAAGAAAGCCTGTGAGAGACTTGAAACAGGGGGTGAGCAATACCTTCTGTCTGTACAACTGCACAATATATAGAGTACAACCAGAGCTGCAGTAGAATAGTCATGTTTTAGTAGCCGAGTCAAAGCCCAGGCCTAAATCCAACAGAGAATCTCTGGCAAGATTTCATGTTCACTGACCTACATTAAAAGAGGACTGAGCTTGAGCTATATTGTAAAGAAAAATGGGTTACAAGCCCAGTCATTAGATGTGTACAAAAGGTTAAAATCTTTTATCTGTAATTACAAAAAATGTGGTGCACAAGGCAGTGGGTACAAGAGGCAGAATATAAAAAAATAAAACATTGCATCCGGTTTCTTTTTTCACTTCACAATAATGCATTATTTTTGTTGATGTATTTTAAAATGTCAAGTTATGGTGGAGCATTGCAAAATGTGTAAAAGTTCACAAAGAAAAATATGTAAAAGATGTGGCAAACGTTTTAAAGGGACTGTTTGTACAGTGTGTTTTCTTTGGTAAATCGCACATATTTAAACAATAGACAATCTAATGGTTGCTATTAGGTTTGTTGCTTTGCACAGCTCATTCTAAAGCTTCTGCTACTACTGCAATTTTACTTCTCTTCTCCGTGCTTTCTAGTGTACATCTGTGTTTCACAACCTCAGAACTAGGACTTGTAAGAGATAATTTATGATTCACTTTTAGCTGACAACAACAATCACCAGCTACAGCGGTTCTGTCCAATTTCACAACATCTACGGGTGTTTGCAATAATATAAGTTGATTGCTGACTCTTGTTTTCCCACTCAGTGAATATTTATGGAAACACAAGTAAAGAAATCATATCCAAGGAAATTCGAGGTGAATGAATCATCCTGACAATCCGGCTCTAAAAGCCTTGTAATCCCCTCAGCGGAGCTCACAGCCTATCAGCTTGTGATAAATGGTGGCGACATTCACAAACACAAGAGGCTGATCTTACACAAAAACATAATTTAAGCAGGCATTTTCATCACAATCAGGTGCAATGGAAACATAAGAGGAGTCCAAATGAAAAACTTCCATACAACATGTACACGCGCATTTACTGATTTGTTCTAAATTCAAAAACGTGCAATTTTGTACAGACAAAACTGCTCTATAAATTGTGCAAACTTTGCTATTTATTTGGGTTTTTGCTGAATTTGATTTAGACATTTTACCTTTTCTGTTGACTGTGAAGTTCCAAAAAAGATGGGGATGAAGGCCAGCCAAACAATGCAGGTGGTGTACATGGTAAAGCCAATGGGCTTGGCCTCGTTGAATGTCTCGGGAACTCCTCTCGTTTTGATTGCATAAACTGTGCAGGTGACCATCAGAAGCATGCTATAGCCCAGCAGACAGATAAGAGACAGATCTGATATGTCACACTTTAGTACACCTCTGGACATTTCAGGATTGGCTGTACGCTGGTCCTCGTAGTCGATGATGGCTTGTGAAGGATCGACCCCGAACCAGATGCACACCCCGAGAAGCTGCACCGATATCAAGCTGAACGTGATGACTAACTGAGAGGCTGGAGAGATGAATCGAGGAGCACTGACAGACATCTTGCCCTGCTCAAAAATCCTGTAGATCCGATTTGTCTTGGTTAGCAGGGCTGCATAGCTTATACTCATCCCCAGCCCAAGAAAAATCCTGCGCAGTGAGCATACAAAGACATCCGGGGTGGAGATCATGAGGAAAGTCGTGGCATAACACAAAAAGATGCCCGTCAACAGGACATAGCTCAGTTCTCGACCTGATGCCTTCACAATGGGCGTGTCATTGTAGCGAACGAACGTAGCAACCACTAGCAAAGTGGCTATGATGCCCAGCACTGCGATCAGGACAGGAATGACTGCCCAAGGAGAGCTCCACTCCAGCTTGACAATGGGAATAGGAACGCATCCGGTGTGGTTCTCATTGGGCCGCAAATCAAATCGGCACATCTTGCAGGTGTAAGTGTCTGCCTGATACTGATAACCATCACAACTCTCGCAGTGCCAACAACATGGGATCCCCTTCACTGTCTTCTTGCGCTGCCCAGGGCGGCAGGGCTGGCTGCAGATGGAGGACGGGACTTCTTGAGTTGCACCTGGCCATTGCATCTCATCAGTCTGAAAAAATGAGAGAGGATTTATGGTACAAGAAAGGTCCTTACTTTTGATTCAGCAACTTATTTCATTTCACAAACCACTCCTGCATTTCCCCACCTCTTTCTTTGCCATATTTTTAAACCTCAGTATACTTATAGGGATAAGTTGATAAATCAGAATAGTACTGAAAATATTTATTTTACCAACTCCAAAGGGCTATCAAAAACAAAACTACAGAGGTAATTTACACAAAGTGATTATATTCCTGTTAATTTTGATGATTATGGCTTAAAGTTATGAAAATTTACAAAAGAGTTTGTTCTCTAAACATGAAAATATTACAAGGGACTGAAACATCTATTGAGTATTAAGTGTTGATAAAGGGGAGGCCTAATGTAACCTCAAGTTCATATTTCAGATTTTTATTTCTAAAAAACAATGTTAGAATCTCACCAACTATTGGTGTAGATGCAATAAGTATTGCCACAAGATTATGTAAAAGTCAAGAATGTTGTTTACACAATACAGTAAAATACAAAAGAATAGTCCATACATTGAGGTGGAGCTGATCTGTCCAGTGCCCAATGATCTTGTATCCTGTGTTGTTGCTGCTGATCTGGTATTGGTAGATTTCATAGCGACCAGGAGCGTCTCCATTCACATTGAAGACCACAGGGGTGCCAGCAATTCCTAAACCATGAAAGAACAAAGAAAATGTTTTGTTGAAACAAGTGGTGAACTTCAGTGTTGAGCAACACATTTAAAACTCATAATTTTCTTCTCAAACAGCCTTGAAATAAAAAAAAAAATAAGTTGCAACAAGACCTCCTAATGCTTCCAGTATGCTTTTAGTGATGTTGACAGGTATTATGTTGTGGTCTTTTGAGAAGAGCCAGAGCTCATCTCTTTAGGTTTCCATGTCACTTCCCTCTATTCGCTCTGCTTGTTGCCCCATTGCATGTTATTTACAAGGTCCCTACACAGCACTAACGAATGACAGTACTGATTTTTATTACCGCTTTGAGAGCTCTCTCATGTATCTGCTTTCGGTTTCTAAGGCAATTGATAATCTCCTCTTGAGCTTCACAACTTGTTATAAAATTGTGTTGTGGGAGACGAAGGATTCACTGAATTTAGAGAAAAGATCCAATCATAAACACACCATTAACAGCATCTCCAGTCCATTTATTTACCTATTCTTTCATTTCCTTCAATTCTCTATTAAAACTTATCAAAAATACTGAAACAAGTAACAAAGGCTAAACACATGTCCTCAGTTACCTTGCAGGAATACATTTTTGGTCTCCCAATACTCAGTTTTCTAATATTGCTTTTTGACGTTCAAAAGCAACACCGAAGAAAACAATATTTATACATGGACCTTTACTAATTTGATGATATTTACGCACAGCTTTATGACATTTTATAAGTATTCATGACTGCAATTCCCTTTTGTTTGAAAATAGAGAATTTGAGTAAATTGTTCCCTTGTAAAGGCCACAGTACAGCTTTTTGATTGTTGTTTGTAGCTGAGAGTTCAGGTCTGAAACATGCTAGCCAGTCTCTGCAGCCGTTGCATTCACTCTCGTCCATCAAAATCATCAGGTTCTTAATTGCATTAGTGTCATCCTGTTCCAGTCTGGGCGTGTCTAAGCCAACAGCAGGAAGTCACTATTACTATGAAGTGTCTTACCAATCTGAGCAATAAAAGGGAATTGATGTTTGTTTCTTTAGACTTGATTGCCTTAATTGATTGCTTTGCAGCCTCGCAGGAAGACACTGCTGTTTGAACGTTCAGCGAGGAAATGTAAACAAATTATTTGTTTAATAATCAGGTCACAGCTTTGATTTAACAGAAAATCTTGATTAGACTGTTGTACCAGTGGAGGTATGTGCAGAACAATATGTAGAGATGAATGTCAGAACATATTAATGTTGGGATGGGAAATACCCCTGCAGGTGAAAAACAGCACCCTTGTTAAAGATTACCTAACATGAATGTCTGTTACGGAGATGTGGTGACTCCAATATGCCTCTTTTAATTGTGAATTTTAAAGATGAATTTACCTCCTTGTAATCTTCTTCACTTTGTGTGGTTGGAAGATTGTCCAGCCCTATATGTTACAGCTCCAGTTGTTTAACACTTTGTATTTATTTGACTCTAGTGAGTAAGGTTTCATAGGTAGTCATCTTCCTGACTCAATAACGTCAACAAACATCAGACATATGCAAATGCCACGGTCTTCTGCCTTTTCCATTTTGACAAGTGGACAAAAGAAATCCCTATATCAGATCAAATTACAACCTCAGCAAAGCTGCTGGACTCCAAGACTTTCTGATAAATTGAAAATAGCAGAGGTGCACCATAAAGTCATCTGGTGATCAGAACTGACTGACCAGTCAGAAACTGAAAAAATATATTTTCTTTTTCCTTTAAGTGAACCTATCCAAGGCCAGTGTCTCCAACTGAGAGACTTTCTTCCTAAATCTTTGGCAACTTTTTACATCAAGCAACTTTCTACTTTAACACTGGAAACTTTACTTGCAATGACTCCACCACAAAGATATGAATGTAAAGATTTAATAAAGGAAGCAATCAAAGGGATGGATGATTGGATGGAGGGAGGAAGAGATGGAGGAGATGATACCCAAATGGATGCTAGGTTGAAGACTCAGGGAGGGGTTACAGTCGTCAAGAAATAACCTTTCCAGAACTTGCAGACAGTGACTAAAAATAACTAACTAAATAAGAATGAACAAAAAGTCAAGGTAACTCCTAAAGTTCCAGCTCTAAACATATAAATTGTGTTTTTACTTCTTTAAAGTGAAATATCGTTTTAGTAACAGCTTATTCAAAACCCAGTCTTTCATGTTGGTGCTGCAAAATACCTCACTTAAAGTCTTCGAGTAATCTCTTTCAGCATCTTTCAACATCTTGGATTAAAATCCTTGTGATGCTGGATGAACCAGTTTGGTGGATATGTAGTCATAGTCTGCAAAGAATCCTACATTCTTGCTTCACGTCCTAGAAGGCTTTAAAAAGCAAAGTTCATGAGGCAGATCATCACTAATGTGAGGCATTGATTTTCTTACCCTATCTGTTGTAAAAACACATTGGTTTTATTGCTGTCGTCCAGTCTTCCAGTGATTTACCATGCCATCACAAAATTGGTCATTCATAAAGATCTAAACCTTCAATTATATGACACTTGGCTACTACACAATGTTATAGATTTAAGCCCTACACATGCTTTGAGAGTTGACTTGTCTTGTTGAAAAGATGATTAGGATTCAGGATGGATTCAACAATGATTTTGTTTTGCACAGACAGAACTGACCTACTTCTATACTAATATTCTTACTCTGGAGCCATTAGACGAGGTATATTCGCTTAACAGTAAAACTTTTTTTCAGTGCTTTAAACTTTCCTGTCAATTTCCATTTGGGTTCAAAACATATAAAGCAAACAGGCTTGTCAGCTACACTTTTGTATTCTATTCCTAACAATAAATTAACATAAGAAACATTCATATAAGTTAAAATAATTTTATTTTTAGACCTATTCTTACCTTACTTCTCTGTACCAACTTTGTAAAACAAGGTACCTCAAAAGCACCAGGTGAGATGCGAGGGGAACAAGTTTCAGATGATTTGAGCTTTGGGATATTGTACATTATCCTGATGGAAATAGCCATCAGAAGATGAGGTACACATAAAGGTTGTCATAAAGAGAATGACATGGTCAGCAGCAGCTGCCTAAACTAAAAGTCAGGATGGATCCATTTTTTTTACACTAAATTGTACACTAAATTGTACACTAAATTGTGACCCTACCATTTCACTGTAGCATCTAAAAATAAGACTTATCACAGAAGGCAACTTTTTTTCAACTGTCCAATTGTAAAGAGTCTCTGCATATTGCAGCCTCAATTTCCTGTTCTTCCCAACAGGAAAGGCACCCGCTTTTGCCTTCTCTTCTCGAAGTCAATTTTCTTCAAAGGTTGCCGCCTTATGCAAACATAGATGATGTTCTGCATAACTTGGTTTTAACAAGTATTGTTTTACCTACTGTTACTTGTTACAGAATCATAAACCACTCTGCACAGTCTAGTCTGATCTATGACATCAACAAGAAATTTTAATCCATACAACTGCCATGCACTGCTTATGTTTTCTTCTATCTCTTTAATTCAAAGAGATAATTGTCTCTGAGCATTTCAGGAGCTGCTTTTTCTGAAAATGCTCAAACCAGCCCATCAGGCTATTTGGCGACACCAATATAGCCTTTAAAAGTATGGAAATACAATTTATTTTTTATTCTGATGCTCATTTGGAACTTTGGATGCCTTAATATAGGTAGTTAGTTGCACAAAATTCAGCCAATTTGTTGTATTAGCAAACAACCAAAATAATCTACCAGATCTTGTTCCTAGTAAATGACAACAGTTTGGTAAATATTTTGTTAGGTCAAACAAAGAAGTTGAGAAAAATGCTAGACTGGAAACTTTTTTTTTTCATAAGTATCATTGAAATTCCAGTTTGAGAATAGCTGCACCATTTGATTAACTGCATGAACAATCAACAATCTGGCTGTTGGACAGCCAGTTGGACGTCTCTCTTATCAAACTCTATTGTCAGCTGTCTTGCTGATTGAACAGATTGCTGGTCCAATTTCCTACACGACTGCTGTGTGTAACTGCAATGAGCTGCTGTGGCTGAAGAAATGCTACCATGTAGAGCTAGATCAGATGATAATGTTTAAATATCTAATTTGTTTGTATGGAAATCAGAATTTTTTTTATGAAGCCAAAAACAGCACGTCGTCAAAAGAAGCAAGGCTTGTTTTGTCAAAGTTATATTTGGAATTTCTAATGCAAAACATCTTTTTTTTTTTTTTTTTTAGCTTACCACCTGCAAAGACTGTGGAATTGGTTCCTTACCAAGCGGCAGACAATGGTTCTTGAAACTAAACAGGACTAGAATTGTTTTACCAGACCCAGTATCTGTACATTTCCAATATAATTTCCAGTATTTTTATCATGTACTTTAGGGTCATGTATCTCTACCCGTCATCCAGAGGTCCCCTTCTGTAATGTTTATAGAGATGTATGTGTCCATCACTATGTAATCATCAGTGACTGTGGAGCAAATTTAAAGAATTGACAAAGCATCTGTTTTCCCTTCTGCTTGATCACATGACCCTTTGCTCAACTGACATGCAATTAGCTCAACACGTGACAGCAGATACCAACACAGATGTAAACATTACCGTGTTTTGCATATGACCTGTTGCTAATCTTGCAGTGCTAATTTTGTTGAATCGAGTGCCACCCTTTAAATATCATCTTTTGGTCTCTTTTGCTGAATACTAATCCATGAAGCTATGAGAATGACTCTGGGAACATTCACAAAGGCCTCTTTTTATCTTGGAATACACATATTTTGGGCTTCTCTTTTTTTGGAAATGATGGAGGATGGCTTGTTGATCACGGCAAAGCTCTTTAGCCAACTGCTGATGGGGTTGCCCAGCTGCTTGAATGAAAAAGCACAGAATATGATGTGCATGGAAACTAGGCAGCAGAGCTGTTACACCCTTGATCGCTTCCAGTAATATTCTCCCCTTGGACAATAGGATGGGCTATTTGGAAGTAAGAGTCACCCACTAGAAAAAAAAACTGCAATGTCTTTGTTCTTGAATCGAGCTAAATGCAGCACCAGTCTTCCACTCACAAAGTTATGGGTCTACTCCAAAATATCCTGATGCCATTGATAATATCTGCTTTAAAGCCCAGTGCATTAATGAAACTAGTTGAGACTAGCACCACTTATAGCTTAGTACAATTGTTGGTTATCACCAAGGCTGAATACAGACTGGCTGACAAAAATTACTGCAGATCAGACAGAAATCCCCCTGCAGCTTATGTGTCAAAATACTGTATGTAGCAGGTGTCGTACCCTACAAAAAGGTAGTTCTTTTTATTGCATATTTTGATATGTATGAAACCTCAACTTCTTTCTCAATTGTAGCATTCGGCTCCGGCCTTAATAGATGAATAGCTGTCAGTTAAGTGTCTTCCCATTCTCATTTCTGTACAATTTGAACTCCGCTGCCAGCGCCCTTGAAGTCAGAAATCACTTGCGTGGGCAATTCTATGGTGACAAGATAAGGCAGGAAAATCTCACAAAGCAAAGTTTCTGCTTATCATCAGCTATGATAAAACATGCTCTTCTTCTGGTGATTGTTAAGATTCTTACAGATCTTTGCCTTTATGCTTGTTGGGAATAATTTACAATCAGTGAAGACCAGTGGATCCTTATAAAACCCCTGAGTATGCATCTTGTGTGCACAGAAAAGTTGAAAAATGGGACCCGCGGGTTGCCTCAGATGCCAACAAACAAAAATGGGCTTTGTTAAAAAACCTTATGTCTAATAATATTTTGGTCTAGCTTACACATATAGCACAACACAACACCTTATAGTAAACGTTGTGCATGCAGTTTTAAATTTAACCTGTTAAAGGTAACAGACATACATACCTGTAAAGTTGACATTGCGAATATACTTGAGAAGTAGCGTGCCATTGATGGTGTCCATTTTGGGGCAGAGGCCAACTTTTCCAGGACAGAGGTCTTTGTGCATATTATGGAGAGCATGAGCCATGGCATATACAGCATCTATAACGAACTGGACCTTCCCCTCCTGTTCGTAGGATGAATCTTTTCCAATCCGCTCGTGATCTTAAGAGAAAAACACCAACAACAAAAAAAAGCAAAACACTTATTACAAATAAATGATGACTTTCATGCTGTTTTCTTTGCTAAGCCAAGAAAAAAGAAAGCTGGACTCCTTTTTTTAATAAAAGGAAAACATTTAGATCAAAATTAGACCTGAATATCAATGGATGTTCTGTGAACTAAACAATAGTTACTAGATGTGTAAAAATCAGGCAAATTATAACCCTTCAAGAAGTCTGATTACTCAATTGTGAAACCATTTTCCCTGCTATTTTAATTTATGTTGAGACTGACATTGAATTGCATGCTAAAATAATTGGATGCTATTTTTTTCAAGACATCAATCAGGAATACCACTGTACAAATTCAAAGTGATCTTCTTTTAGAGCCTTTCTTGGTGTGGGCTATCAGTCACTTGGACCCACACACCTATATGGAGTATATGTTATAACATGTTTGTGCTGTCCAGTTAAAGCCCATGGCCATGTTTTATGATACCATGTAAGCATGCTTGTAAAAGACTGATTTATAGTTTAAATGAAGTCATAAACTCTAGCTACAAATACTTTATAATCAGGAGTGTGAGATGACAGATGTGTTCCTCTGTTGTTTATATGATCTCTCTTTGTTTATCTCCATCAGGCCATGTGCCACCTTGAATCTATTAATCATCAGTGCAGAGCTTGACAGAGTGGCATGAGTGGAGAGGAAGACATAGTCAGACTGGCCTAATCATTCTTCACTATTAATGTAATTAGTTATGACAGGTGTATATTAATCATGGCTTGAGTTGTTTTAACGCTTTGAAAATGCATTACTCGTCAAGCAAGTTTTCAATTATCGTCTTAATTCTCCTATTAACCACTGCCCTACCAGATGGGTTTATTCAATAGGTTTATTTAAATACTTTTCCTTCCCTTCCTTAATCAAGTTAAATGTGAAAAAGAAAAATAATGTTTTTGGTTATGTATATTTTTTTCTGTTTCTTGGTCTGGTAATCTTTAACAACATCATTGCTTCTAGTATTTAATTAATTGTAATATCTTATTTTCATCCATTGTTGAACTTTTGATGATGCAATATCAGCTAAGCTTAAAGCAGTTTTGAGAAAATCTTTCTCTTTGAAGAACAGCAGCAGTGTTAATCTGATCAGAACTAATTCCTCGTAGAAGCTCTCTATTTGTCAAGAAATGTGATTTGTGCTGCAAAGACAAGCAAGCGATGCACACACTTGTAAACAATTCAAGGTTCATGACAGAAGATGTAGTATATCCCTTAAGCGTGTTTGCTTTTATGTATGCAAGTCTGTGCTTTAAAGCTTGACCAAGTTTTTGAAAATGTTAAATCTTGCAAGCAGGAAAAGGTAAAACCTTTTCATACTTATTGAAGATGTTACATTTCATCAGAGGTTTAAAGTTTTATTTCAAACAGTAGTTCTTATAAATGTATTGCAAAACAGTCCAGGAGCTATTAATACATTATACAGATTATACTGCAGTAAATAATTCATCACATATATGTTTTGCTCTTGTTAGACCAGGACACCTTGTACAGGAAAATGTTCATTCTGCATTAATCCCTGACAGTGAAGTAAAAAGAAAAAAGGTTATGTATTTTATGACAAATATGTAAATACCTGGTTTCAGCTTTACATTACACTTCAAAGTTGAATGATATTTTGTGTTGAATTATTAATAAATAAAGTATTACCTTCAAAATATTATAGATAAGCTCAGTGCTTCAAGAGTAAAAAGGAAAAAACTTGATGCATCGCTTATGTGGCTCATTTTTTACATATGTGATTTTTCTGCCTACTGTTACTTTCTTAATCTAATATTCTGAAATGCACTACAAAATTTCTCAAAAATCCACAGCTAAAGTTTTATATGCTCAAAATGGTCAAGGAACATTTGGTAGAGGAAGAAAGTCCATCCATCCACTGTCTAAACCAACTTTTCTTTTTAACTGGTCTCCAGTGGTCATTGAGCAAGAGGGGAGGAAAATAAAAAGTGAAATGCTCCACAAGTGTTAAAGATTTATGTATAATAACATAAGCATAACTGTATAAATGTAAGAAATCATCCGGATAATAAATTCATATTCGACGAAACAGGGCTTTCCCAAAAGATGAACATTTGCACCGTTACATAATTTATCACAGGAAGTGAAACTAGGCCATTGTAAAATATGTATTGGTTAATACAAGTGACAATGTAAATTAGAAACAATGGTATGTTTCTTGAAAAGGCCAAAACCCCCAGCAGCTTGAGTAAATTAAAATTCTTGGCCAGTGAGAAAATGCTGCAAGCATATTTCACTGAAGCATGACTAAGTGTAGAACTCAGGCCACTAGATCAGTTGGTCATTTGCAGGCTAAAGAGTTCCAAGGATCAGGTTTGCCAAATATGTGTGGTCAAAGAGTTTAGAGTACAGTATCTACATGAAACTCTGTAATTTATTTTTTTTTTCACTATATTTTTTTTCTCTAAAAATTTTTTTCTAGCCATAAAATAAAGCATGATATTATTTTTAGGAGTAACGGCACAGTTACTGATTACAGTTTACTATTAAGCAAAAATACTTTTCTGTTTACATTATTACAAGATAAAATATTTTGTAAGACATTGCAAAAAAGCAACAACAGGGGAGTACATCAAGTTTTTCTACTAATTAAGCTGACCCTTGTTTCTACCTAGAATGTATTCAAAGAGCAGCAGAAGCAGCAACTTCTGTCTTGTATTTATGTATCCAGAGTAATGCGCTCATGCGTATAATTGAACTGTTGGGTATCCGTGTTTCGCCTGAACATAATGCACAGGCCTTGTTGCTATCTGCATAAAACAGAGGATCAGGAGTTTACCGATTTGGCATTTACAAGCATACAAATTCAAATAACGTGCAAGCTAAGGCTAAAATAAAAATCTGCTTGAAATAGCAATGTGACATAGTCGTAGTATATTAATTTGACCTATTAACTCTAGAATCAAATATGTATTTTTAGCTGTCCTGGACTAAAATAATATTATCTTAATCTATTTTAGGGCTCAAATTTTAGTCACATAATTTGACTCTTACATCTGACAGAATATTTTACCTTCTTCAAACTAAAGTGCACTGTAGTGTGGTTTTCAATTTCCTGTTTAACATAAAGTTATCATGTTCCTCAAGTTAGCCTCTGATTGGCTGAGCAGTCAAAATGGCCACTCTTTTCCCATGCTACAGACCTGTGCTGTGTTTGCAGAGTCAAAGAACCAAAACATATTACCATTCTATCCTGTGAATATAATGCTAATGCTCAGAAATATAAAGAAATCTAATGCATTTTTCATATCACAGTGGCTGTATTACTGGAAAGTCAAATATTCATCCTTTCAACTAATAAGTAAACAGTGATGTTGCTTGAAATAGCTTAAAAAAGTTTAATATATATATATATATATATATATATATATATATATATATGTTGTAGATTCAAACACCATATATGAAAATGGTTTCAAAATCAGCCTAAGTGAAGCAGTGGTTCTTCAGTAATTTCCCTCATCAATGCTGCACCGTAAATGTTTGCTGCCGAGACCTTTCAGTATAAATCTATATACCTGACTTGAGTGAGGCGATGACACAAGGTTTTCTACAGACTGGCTGCCCTCCGCACTTCCTGTTCATATAAATCCACAGCATGCACACTGCAGAATATTGAAAAGATCACCTGGGAGCTTGGGCAGTTGTCAAGAACAGTATGTTTATGCACTGGGGTCAGACAAGCAAAGTCAGTACATATTACCTTGGTATGCTGAGCACCTTACTGAGTCCTGCTGCGGCTTCCAGATCTTATGGAAATGTACATTTGCAGTTAGGAAAATTTTGGAAGCGGAATCTATGATAATGGCTGGCAGGAATGTTTAGGCATTTTGACTGAATTACTTTAGGTGAAACGGGTGCCTTATTTTTGTCTCGAACGCCATGGAGCAAATTCATTTGTGAAAATTCAAACCAATTTTCCAAGTAATTTGACACAGGCAGTTTTTTAACTTATGGAAGCTGGTACAGGGACATCATCTCACATTAAAATAGTGTTGTTTGTCAGGAATGAACATATTCACTTGCAAAATTGTGAAGAGGCAAGCTTAAACCACTTATTTAACGACATCTGATGTGTCACAGTGTTCTGGTTTGGTGTTGCCTCAAATGCAAAGATAAGGGCAGACAGAGTATAGTGGAAAAATTGATTTAATGATGAAACTGTCAACTTACTGATCACAAATACCACTGCCACCAATGTGTAGGAGCGACAGAATATTGGAAGAGTTCAGTAGTGAGTCAATGAAATCAAAAAGCTAAAATACTGTGGAGAAGTGATTGTTGCATGGAAACCAGGTGAGTACAATAAACAGAATGCAGAACAGCTGGGGAGAACCTATGCAGGGAACTGGGGGAAGGCTGGATAATTAATAGAGGAGCAGAGCTGTATCTGAACCCATACACAAATGAACAATAGGGAAAAATCTAACAAAAACTAGCTTTGAGGGATAGACTGAATAAGACAATAGGATTGCATAGAAACTAATTAACACAAAGGGAGGAAAACTAAGAAACTCTATCCAAATGAGCCAATATGGAGACCAAAATGCCTCCCAAATCTGACATTTTCATGGCAATCTGAACTTAACTAGCCATTTCTGATCTTTTCAATCATGAAAAAAAATGCAATTTGTGCCACTTCATTATGTGATGTAAAACTGGATACGTTTCCAATATTGAAAGCATCTGCAGTGTGAACAGTCATGTTGCATTTTGTCCGACTTTTACATCACTGACATGAAACATTCATCGTAAGTATATCAATATATTCTTTGGAACCCACAAGGAACTAAAAAAAAAAAAAAAAAAAAAAAAAAAAAAAAAATTTTTTTTTTTTTTTTTTAAATTTTTTTGTGTTTTTATTTCTAAAAAAAAAACAAAAAAAAATGTTACCCACA